GTAGCTTTGTGCATAATTAAAAACAAACAAACTTATTAGAAATGGTTTAGATGAGAGGGCTACTAGAAATATTTCAGAGATGGAAGGGTTGCCTTATGCGATTCCTTATATGATTCACATAAGATCTTTTAATTTATTTTCTCTTGAGAAAAGAAATATACGATATGTTTATCAAGTTTGCAAGATTATCCAGAGGTTCGATAGAATAAATGCCTCTAATTACTTTGTGCTATATTTTGTATACAATGGGACAAGAGAGGACGGGTTTAAAATTTAAAAAATACAGACTGTGCTCCAGTTAAGGCAATTCCATTTTTCTAATATAGTGATTGGTTTATAAAATTGAATGTTATCAGTAGTAGTAGAGTTTACTTTACAAGAGACTGAGAGGGGAATCAATGATATCCTGTAAATTAAATGGTGGGTTTAAAAGAGTAATCGATGGTCTTTACTTTTTACTTTTTTACTTTTTTACTTTTCTTAAGGGTAAAGTAGCAGGAGGACATTAAAACCACAAACTACAAGAGCTTAAAATGAATGACCTAACCATAAAAAGACGTTTTATTTTTAAAGTATCCAAAGGAGCATTTTTTCATTAATAAAAGTTGAAAGAAATCCAATAGAATGAACATTACGAATGTCCAATCTTTTTTTTCTCCTGAATATTTATGTTAGCAGTAAACGCGTTTGGTAATATAATTAAATCTATTAAGAATATTAGTTATTTTGAATAATTTGAACAGTTGAGCATTTTAACTTTCTGGAATTAACAGTATCATGTAATTGATACTGAAGGATACTTTATGTGGAATATAAAGAGCTAAAACTACGTTAATGATGGATATAGTTTCAAGCAGCTGCAGTGTCTACTATGCTTTTTAGCTTGAAAAACTATTTATTACCAGAATTATATCAGGGTGAGTTGCACCACACAATGTCGAGATTCAGTTAGGTTTATATTATAGGTGTTAATTAGGCTTTTTGAATATCGTAATATTTCATTTACGCAAAACATTTTCTCGTTTTATAAGGGATTGATTTCGTAAAATGGTTTGACAGATACTACCAGACGGTACCCACTGTACTTTTATTCCAAACTTTGTTAACGTTATCATTCAGACATATCAAATAGCTTATATTTCATTCTACGGAGACTTAATCGCAATTTATAGAAACGATGTTCCAAATTTCATGCTGCAATTCTTGGATTCCATCATCAATTATAATCAGTCTGACGGCCATGACTAAGTACAATTGGTGGGCATTGCAACATATATTGTAGTAAGCTTCTACTTATTACTGCGAGGTCAATCCTGGGCACACACACACCTTAAGATATTCACCAACCTGTTTGATGGTTGTTGGTTTCCAATACCACGCTTACACAGATTAAAGGTGTAACGTCCATTGCAGTCGAATCAGGCTTTTTGAAAAGTTTGTGGTTGAAATGAATTGCTGTTTATAATGAAAAATTCCATGTCTTTGAGGTGTGACTGGAAGTTTATGAACTTTTGGCTTTAGAGCCTTTATTAATGTCAACTCCTAGTTTATTATCTATTAATTGTACCAGGAGGCATGCTCAACTTCATTGGCTCTATAGTTTCGTAACTCTAGCCTTGAATTTGTGGATAAGTATGATTTGGGTATGATCATGGAACATATTGCTCCTAAACAGTCCGTTGTGAAAGTTTTTCCGCTTTCATGGAGGACATTGAAGGTTTCCTTCTTCAAAATATTGAATATATCTTGGAAATAACTGTGATATAAATCCACTCTTTGCAAACATTGCATGGCGAATGGTCGAGAATTTCTCATGAACTGAATTTATAGCTGCTAAGTATTTTGTTCGTAGCACTATGACTGGTATCTATCTGCATTAGCATTTGTTCTCAGAGTGATTGAGCAGATTGTTTTTCAAAAAGGAGAATACTGAATGAACGCTCGTTGCATTTTCTAATAATTAACATAAATACGAAAGCAAACTTCAAACGATGATATATTTGAATAGTATTAAGGTTTCATTTCTCACGATCCTATTAGGGAGAATTATACTAATGTAGGACTTTCTAATCTGTAAACAAGCGAACAACTTTTTATAGTTAGCCTTAACAACATTGACTTTTAGATTTATCCGAATTATCCAAATATTTTAATAAATATCAATCTATATAGAACAATCAAAAATCTTTGAAAAGTCAAATCATAAGCCAGTATCCCAAGATAAGATTCGGTTTTCTAGATTATAAAAGTATAAATGAATTTTAATATACTGTTTTTTATTCATGGTAAACTATAGTACTGATTTGATTCAAAAGATGGCATCTTAAACATAACACTTTTACTGTTTAGGAATTTATCAAGATTTGTACATAAATGTGGTTGTTAAGACTATGCAATTTTTTGAATGAAGATATTCATCATCTTGACAAAAGAACGTTATTTTTATTTGATAACTACATCCATAGATTCATAAGAGTCCTAAAATCTGCTAATAATCAACAAAATATTATGATGTTGAAAAGTTTCATTATAAAATTCTGCTACTTTACATTCATGTCAATGGAATCGAGATCTATATACGTCTAAAATAAAGTTATTCAATATATTTTTAAACATAAGACTTCCAGAAACTGTTAAATTTGTTAATATGAAGACCAACCGCTTCCAGAGACTGTTAAAATTGTTTCAACGAAGAACAAATGCTTCCAGAAACCGTTAAAACTGTTTTAATGAAGGTCAACTACTTCCAGAAACCGTTAAAACTGTTTAAACAAAGTCTAAACTGTTTTAAATAAAAGTTAACCACTTGCAGAGCCAATTTCAACTGGGAAGAAACTTTATAAAGTACAGAATATACTGAATTTTTCAATCATTATTAATAGCTTAGCTTAAAACAAAAACGAATATGACTTTGATAGTCAATTACCATTTCTTATACATTTCAAGTCATCTTAAGTTTCTGTAATTGAAAATTTTAAAATAAATTTCGGTTTAACGGGGAATGCTTTATGTTCTATATAGATATAAGTAAAACACGTTTAAATAACATTTTCAACATTCCAGACTTATTTTAAAAGACTACATTTTTATACAACAAACTAATTCACAATTATATAAAAACTGGACCTTTATTGAATAAAGCAGATGCAAAAATAAAAATCTTGGGTAATTAAATACGTTTTTTCTTTTGACAAGTTATAATTTTTTTCATTAGAAAAAATCATTCAGCTACTTATTGGAAGTTTTATTTAATACAAGAAATCTCGTGATAAATCACAAAATTATAACATACTAACAATTTTACACAAACTAACTCACCAAACTTCGACAGAGAGGAAAATTATATAACTATTTGTTAATAAACGAATCAAACTTGAACATTATTTTGAAGTATTATAAATGGTTTATGGTTGTGTCGTATTTGTAATCTGTTTCTAAACAGTTAACTGATTTGTTTTTATTTTTTTAATATTATTTTCTCCAAAGTTTCCCGTTTTAGGAAATAGCATACATGAAATGGATTAAAAGCTTATCGAGGAAAAATCTCAATGTTGTTTTTTATAATCGTGTGTTTTGAAGATGTTTAAATTATAATGTTTATATGTAATATTGTTGTATTAGAAGCTTTCTTCTTTATTAAAATAAAAAGAATGTCATTTTATATGTCATTTTCAAAGTAAAAATCTAAACTGTGGTCAGTGTGGCATAATGTTGACCAAAATAAGTAATATATTTCATTGTATACATTTCTGATAACAAATGACCGATTAATTAGGAGCCAGAACAGTCATCATTTATCTTTTAAAATCGTATTTAGTCAGCTAGCTGTTCATAAGAGTTCTAGGTAGTAATCATATTCAAAGCTTACATTCTTATGCTATGTTCGTGTTCATGGTGTTGATACAATATTTGAGCCAAGTAAGTAGACATTTGTAGTTTACCCTGACTTGAATCCGTATCTTTATTTGCAAAGGTGCTTTCAAATTCCCTCTTGATCTCGTTTAATGGCAAAGAACAGACAAAGAGCGAACAGAAGACAGGCGATCTGTAGAAGAAAGTCATGAAAGTTACAAAAACAAAGTAGAAACCTTGGAGCGGAATATAGGTTACTTCGACTGATCAGTTGCCAGAACATTTGATAACATTTTGTTGTTTAGGTGTATTTAAGATTTTCCAAATATTATAAAATGTTAATCCTAATAATTTTCTACATGGCACACGAATTATTCATTTAAAATATCCTGGTGTGATACTATATATTTATAATTTACAATTTTCGTTATTTCACTTGAGAATAATCTGCTTACCGATTAGAGAAAATTACATGTGTGTGTGTGAAATTTTTCCAAGTAAAAGAGAACATATAAAATGAAAACAAAAATGAACGCACAAAAAGCATTATTTTCGACGTTATTAGGTGAACTAGTTTGAAATAATTTCAAATGTTTTAGTTTTTAGTTTGTTACTTATGTTATGAGGTATGTGTTGCTTTTAATGTACTATATGATTCTCAAAACTACTATACCTGAATGAGTGTTAGGCCTATCGCCATACCGCCTAGAATACCACCCTTAGAAGCCAGATATCGACGAAGGTTTTCACCGCACCCCTAGTAAAAGACAAAAACATCAACTAGAAAGACTAAACCCTACTTAAACGTTAGTATACCAAAGTTGTCTGAAAAATAAGATTAAAAGTTTTGATTTTTATCATTTCCCATTTCTTTTGAGGTTTATAACGTAATAATAATAATAACCTGTTACTCAGGTGTTGTTTCTTTATCGAGGTGTGGAAAAGAACAATTCTTAATCTTGACACAAAAATACAAATCTCATATCGAAATACATTTGCTAAGAAATAACTAATTTAATATAATTACGATATGTATTATTATAACAAAAACATTCCATTCATGAAATATCCAATAAGGCTAGCTTTCTGATATATATATATATATTAATTTCCTGATAATTACACATAACTTCTTCATAAGTTTTATTAAAGTTTATTCATATTTTGTTTTTATAACAATTGTTATAGTACGAACGTCGTTTGCTTTTTTATTCAGTCCTTTAGGATTTTCCCGAATAACGGTTATGAATAAAGAATCTAGTGTTTAACAGTGCAATAAGCCTTATAATTGTCTTATGGCAAATATATTTTCTTTTTTAAGGTTTGGCACGTTGTAATGATAACAGTCAATATGTAGTCAACAGTCAGTAGTTTGAAATTAGGGAAGGCGGAAGATAACCTTACCAGCTTTGCCATAAATACGGCATACAAATACAACTATCTCTAACCCTAGCTTTGAGGAAACAATTTATAAAATGATAAAAAGTTATAGTTTTTTAAAATGTCAAACTATGCACAAATTTGACATTTCTTTTGTTTTTTTATCTGACCGGACACAAGTAGGCCCTGTAGTTGAGTTCAGTATTTCTAAGCTGACGACTCAGATTTAAATCCGTGCGTTAGCATAACCTATTTCCGACAACTAGGTCGAAAACAAAATAAGTCGCATATCTAATATGTGCAGGTGGCTTTTATCTGTATTTTATGTTTGTACTAAAAATTGGCTAAGCTCATTTTTTTGTAACGTGTGTCTGACTATGGAGCTGAAATTCCTTGGTTCGCCTCCCTTTACCGTGGCTGCATTGAAATAATGACAATCAAATTTCACTTTAATGTCTTAAAAGAGTAACTCAAGAGTTGACGGTGGTTGGTGTAAGCTAGCTGCCTTCTCTCTAGCTTTATCATTTCTAAATTATGACTGGTTAGAGCACATAACCCTTCAGTAGTTTGTACAAATTTCAACACATTTCAGGCAATATATGTTTATATTTATACATGTAAACAGTATCGGAAATAATTATGGAATCACAAACAATGAGTAATTACAAGTTATTTATAATTAGCACAACATATTATTACAAAAAGACAGGTGAAAAGCGTATATGTTGTATGAGGCGTTGTATGTTGTATTTGATTTAACCAGAGTAGTACACTTTCTTTTTATGTTAGTAAAACAATATTTATAACAGGACTTGGTGCTGGACACTACACGATTACAAGCTTTTAATAGCATCTTTTTAAGCATCTTTCCATCACACTTGCTACATGTTTGGGATCACTCTATTTCTGGAAGGCGAGTCCCTTTCCAACATATTTTGCTCCGGTGTGGGTGTGAATTGAGTGATAATAATCTGATTTTACCTGTCAACAATCATGTTGTCATAGATGTTGTGTAGATTTCTAACACTGTTCATCGAGAACAAAGTTTGGAGACGACTTGAATGGGTATTGAAAGAAACTTTATTTTATATGTACAACGTTTCGACAAGCTTATGCCATCATCAGGTAAAAGTAGTTTACATAGACAGGAACAAATATACAGTATGGAACAAAGAGTTTAGCAATAGCTTAGTAAAGGTATCTTGGTACCCCAAGTGTTGTATGTTATCTATGTTAAAATGATTGTTTTCATAATATTTGCAAACCTAAAGTATTTTACCCTAATTTATTATTATTATCCTACGTACGCTCTTGTTTCAAAGTATATATTTTGGTTCAATGATTAAACGGTAAATTTTGAAGTTGTGTTAAACAATGCAGTAAGTTAATTTGTTTTATAAGGAAATCATGAAATAGTGATATTATTGTAACAATTTATATTAGAATTATTTGGTATTAAAAGTTTTAGCTTACTAAGCCTAACTACCTTAAATACATCTATGTAAGGATAAAATTAGAAAAAAATTTATGTTTGTTATTGGATTTTTAAGTCGACTCAGAGGATTCTTAAAACAAGGAAAATTTTAAAGGCTGCATTATTTGCCATTGCCTGCTTCAAACTTTATCATGTATAAAAAAAAGTAAGATTTGAAGCTAATAAAAATGTGGGAGGAATAATTTGACAGCTTAATAAGCAATAAAATACATTAATTTAAAATATTAATAAAGCTAATAATTTGGTGATTTATCTGTGCGAATATATTTAGTTTTAAGATACTTACTCTGATAAACACGTTGTTGGAACGATCGTCACTACATGACTGAGGAATGGTCCATCCTTTCTCTCTGTAGTCCAGCATAGAGGTAGCGCCGCAACATTCCAGCTAAGTAACACAAAAATAAGCATTAGCCTCAAGCTACGACAACAAAAAATCTAAATGTTTAGAGTAATAAGCTTACATAGAACAAAGAAGTTAGACTTATGATCAGTTGAAGAACGTTAAATGTGCACATAGTTTGATTTAATTTAATGTATATCAAAAAGGTAGTGGGCTTTAAATTTGACTACACATTTGATCTGTCGAAAGACAATAACAGTATTTCTATAATGTAAAGTAGAACATAAGTTAAGACAAGAAAGTACATGAGAATAATTGTGGCAACAGAAAATCTTCTAGAAAAACATTACATTTATGGTTAGATCTTTTAGCTGTATTAAAAATAATTAAATCATATCAAATCATGAGCGTACATTATAATCAAAAGGAATTTCTAAAAGTAGGATAAAGTCATAATTTATACTTACAATGCAATATAAATAAATGTGCATACGTGAGAGTGAATGAGTTATGACTACTAAAACGGAGTAATAATTAATAACATTTATAATTTCAAAATTTGACTAATATAAGCTGTTAGTAAATTTTGTAACCTCAGTTATTTGCCTTGTTTTCTTTCATCACATAAACATCAGTATTTCTTATACATAAAACAAAAAAAAACGTTTATAGCATTTTTATCAATGCTTATTAATGAAAAGATTATTCATGTTATGAATAAAGAACAACACAATTATAATACTTCTGCAAATTGAGCAGAGAGTAAATAGCTAGTTAACTATTTAGTTGTAAGTTTGTGGGTGAATAATTGCAAATCCTATCTATTTTTTATTGTACTCATAACTTTTTTAAAAATAAACTAAGCATGTTCAAAAACATAAATTAATATCGTATTTAAAAAACGCCAACTTTTTGAAAGGCAGGCAGCTGATCAGCTACAAGTAAATATAATGATTTGTTTCATGGTGGAAAGGTGGTGTTCTCATAAACACTACACCTATTATGTATATTAATTTATAATGTTAACCGTTTCACATCAGAAACATTCCCCACTAGCAAGAAAAGGATACATTTACTATACATGTTTTGTAGTTTGTAAGTACTTATCACCAGGTAGGGTGTAAACTTTTATACTATAACGTCTACAACAGCTCCTCTTGAACTGGGATTTATACTTTTAGTTTAACCCTTGACTTCTATACAACAGCTTCTCTTGGTTTATGATTTATACTATAACTTTTACCCTTGACTTCAATACAACAACTTCTCTTGATTTATGATTTATACTATAAATTTAACCCTTAACTTCTATACAACTCTTCTTAATCTAGGACTTGTACTATAACAGTTTAACCCTTGATTGTAGTAACCTCATTTCGAACAGTTCTTTTGAACATTGATCTCACATAGAAAATGTTGTAACTTCAGTTATTTGCCTTCTTTTATTCATCACATAAACATCAGTGTTTCTTTTACGTGAAACAAAAAAAAACGTTTAAAGCACAATTTTCAATGCATGATATATTTTTGAGAAGAAATGGAATGACCAGAAATAAAATGCTCAGAATAAATGATTGTTAAGTGACGTTAAGGTTTGTTTTTTGTAGCTGAGTTATCTATTTTTTAAGACTGAACTTAGTTTAACAATGATATATTCTTAAGTTTAAAATTCCTTTAATAACAATTTGCATGAACTAAATCCATTTCAGAAATATTGAAATTTTCTTCAAACCAACTCTAACTCTAAAAGTGACATTTTTCTACATCTTTTTATGGGGAGTTGCAGTCTGAGCACGAATATTTCTAAACCTAAAAACCGTGAAATTTCTTCTGATGTACTTTTATGAAGGGTAGACTTCCGCAAAGATACCTTGTAAAAGTATATGTTTGTGCATATATATACACATCTGTACACAAGGGATATAGTCAGCACACGATACTAGTATAAGGTTTAAATAAGGAAATAAATAAATATATACGTACTTATAACATATGGGGATGAGTACAACATCCTTCATCCTAATCCCTCGATTATTAAAATCTTAGCCTTTTTGAACAGATAAGTGTTTTCTCTTTAAATAGATATCACAGATGTTAATAGAAATTTGTTTTATAAGTGTACGGCATTCAAATGATTCTTCCTTTTACTACGTTAGTTGTACAACTGAGGAGAGTTTCGATGTTGCCTGGTAAATTAACGTATGGTACTTAAACATTAGGTATATTGATTTTTCTGAACATATAATGATATTTGTACTGCCATTACAATATGAGGGAACAGAACATTCACTTTCCATATCACCCCAAAATGGTGTTTCCTAATAGAAATACCTTAAGTGTTGGAATACTGACTGCATTTTTATATACATTACATAATTTTCCAGGCAATAATTTTTGAGAATGAAATTAGTATAAATTAAAAATATCATAATACAATTGTTTTAGTACATCATATTGGGGGTGTTATTTTATTGAACGAAAAAGACTGCTGGTTAAAATTGTTTGCAGTGATTGAAAAATGAAACTTATCTGTTCATAGAAACCGATATATTTAATGTCCAATTCTCTAATTATGTTTATAAGGCAACACGTTTACCCTTCCCAGTTCAGCTTTTCTACTAAATATAGAAAGTTTGGGTTGCCATTATTCTTGTGGGAAACTTCGTGATCAATTACTTTAGTATAGTTTTAAGGAAGAGACAGTTTTATATTCAGGAAGACAAGTATGTTAGTAATTGAAGAATAGTTGTGGAGAATAATAAACAGTGTTTAACTGACCCCAATCCCTCAGTTCATCATTTGCTACAATACTTTTTAATATAATATTTCCCTTTTCTACAAGGAAAGCTTTAATTGTTTTATTGTATTGTGTTTTATGTTTCTAGAAAAAGATGTTCAGTCGCTGTATAAGGCTTTCCTATATGTCTATATAAAGTTGAATGTAGCTGCTGTAAGAAGCAGCGTGAGAGCTGACAATGATGATCATTTTTCTTACGTGAATCTGCATTAAGTCCATGAAACGTCTAGCATTCTCGTCATACTGTTGTTTCTCCATCTCTATTTCAATCTGTTCGGTCAAGAACTTTTGAAGCTAGAAGGCAAAATAATCACTAGTTAGAGAAATAAAATTACACGTTTTTAAAACTAAACAGATAAACAAAAAATAACATAAATAAAATTTCTATACCACTGCTTAAATTAGTCTAGTTTATAAATATGATGTATTAGAATGACAAACTTCACTGTAGTTGCGTTTAATTTTAACCTAGTTTCAAATAACATTTTTTAAATAATAGCAATCTTTTAAAGGCATTTTAACACTTTATAGGTCAAAATATTTATAAAAGTAATATTTGAATCAAAGATATTAGACACTTCATCGAGACTAGACAGGAGAATTCAGGATTGGTAAGCTATATAATTACAACTTAAAGATAAAATTTCATACAAGTACATACAGTAAACAACGAAATTCTTTATTGTTTTAGACTCAGTTTTAAGTCAGTAAATTATAAGATTATTGGTTATACATGAAGTGTAAGCACTTTTAAAACATTTAAGCCATAGTATTTATAATTTAAGAAATCTGTTAGCGAGAAATTAGATTTTTAGCATTTGTGTTGAGATAAACTAATGTAAGCCATCAATATAATACGGAAATCCTTGGATAAAACAGCACTAAAAGAAATTATTGATATATATCTTAACTAAACTGATCTTTAGTGATTCGAATACTCTTGTTTTATAGATTTTTGAATTAATCAGATGGTAATAAGAATACGTTATTTATTTATCTGTGTTTGATGGTTCGCTATAATTAGAAATTGAATTCCTATCACTAGTAAACAACATGAAACGGTTAAAGCAACGATAAATTATAACAAACACGTTAAATGCAAATGTTTGTAAAGCTTGTACATCTCTTGTAGTATATTACTGTACACGATATATATATATAAAGGCTTTTATAACGATTTAATAGTTAATTTATTTAGTTGTTAATCCAAAACACAAAGACATATTTGAATTATGATGTTTGCTACTTATACTAGCATTTTGTTTCAATAGGTTGGTATTGTTGCATATTTGAGAAAAAGTTACTTGTATATCTATTAAGTTTGAACCTTACCTTATCACCATTAGCAGCTTTCCACACCAGTCCAGCAGCAGCCAGTTCCATAACCACCATTACTAACATAACGAAGAAATACTGCAAAAATAATTACTGATTTATCTATCTAATTATCGTGCCATGATTGGAAAGCTTGACTGATTAGAATGTATAAAGATGATAAATTATTAACTAGATTAATATTTTTCACTTATGACAGTAGCTTTGTTTCTGATGATTCAGTAGTTAAAAGGTTTTCTCGGATTTTGCAGTCGGATATCTTACTTTCATTTTTACTTGAGACCTTTACGAAAAGTAAATTATAATTAATGAGCATGTCAAGATAAAATACCAGTTTCAAAATGACAATTTAATAGGAATTTATGAGCCTTCAAATTAAAATTCATCCTCAATTGATTTTTAAGTAAAACAATGGATCAAAACGAAGAAAGTGGCTTAGAGACTGAAAAAACTAACAAGTAATTTTATCAATGAATAATACAGAAAATGAGATATGTCAAATTTCTAAAAAGAAATAACATTAGATTATATCTCGTTGATTGTAAAATAACTCAAATTGGATTTTTCCCACTTCACATGTTTTCCAGTTTAGTGCAAACCTTGTGCCCGACATGCAATCCTTGCGTAATTAAAACAACAACAATGGAAAACAGATAGAAATAATTAACAGTCTCGTTTTGAGTTTACTTACTGATTATAAGTATTATTTCATTAAAAGTTCCAGGTTTTACAGTGAAGATAAATACTTTTCTTAAACAGGAATTACGCTTCGATCACTAGTGCGATCATTCTCAAGTACACAACTTTTAACAGTAAAGAAGGTTTTTATATTTAAATCAACATTCAACAATCTAACAACTTACGTAAATTTTAGAATTAATAGCGGTAACTTATGGAGTGTTTATCAATCTGCATGAATTGACAGATTATTTATTTAAGACTTAGGTACATGGATGACTTTTTGTGGCTTTACTTGTATAGATCAACAAACAAAATTCCTTCAACACATACACAACCTACACAAAGACATACAATTCACAGTTCAGAATGAAAACAAGTACACGGTGATTTGTTTTAAATGTTAACATCACACGAAACCCCAAAGGCTTCAATTAACTATTAAAATCTATAAAAAAATATATACATCGAAAATTACATAAACTGGTTATCTAATCATGTAACCCACCAGAAACTAGGCACTCTAAGAAGCCACCTAAATATAGTATGCACTTTATGCACCGCAAAAAATATCGATGACGGAGTTGCACACTTAACTGAATTTCATATTGTAGTAGTTACACAAATTATTAACGAATTACAAAAAACAAACAAGACAGTTAACAAACACACAAACTCAAAAATCATTCCATAAAACAAAAGAAATATAACCACTTGCACTATATCGTATATATAGAAAATATTAGCATACCCCTATAACAAAGTTGGAAAACATTAGCACATAAATATAACCTTAAATTAACGACTAAATTCTTTTTACGCCCCTGGAATGAAAATTAAGCACATGTTAAAAAAATTATATAACGAAACTACGCCACCAAGAAATATTTACAAAATAGAGTGTAGCAATTCCCCAGCCTTTTACATAGGTGAAACAGGACGTAACTTGAACATGGGAACAAATAAACAAGTCCACGAACATATGAAGAAAACAAACCATATTTTTTTTCTGAACAGAATGTCGCCATGATGAAACATGAACCTGACATTAACAGAAGAAAAATCAAAGAAGCTTTATTAATAAAATCAAACAATCCCACAATTAATAAACACCCATGCACATCTCTATATGTCTTTGATCGTAATTTCCACAGAAATTCCTAATCTCATGCAAATATTTTGCATAACATATTCCACATTTCCATATTTATTTACTTTTTTTGCTGTTCAACCATAAGTAAATGATCTATCAATTCACATGCATAAGTAACCACTATCATTCCTAAAATTTCAATCAATTATTAGATTGCTGAATGTGGATTTAAATACAAACACCTTCTTTACCGTTAAAACTTGTGTACTTCAGATTGATCGCACCAGTGATCGAAACGTTGTACTTGTTTTAGAAATAATCTTCCATAATGTAAAATCTGTAACTTGTAATAAAATAAGATGTAAATAATGTTCACACGTAAAATAAAGTTAATGAAATAGTAATAGACTTCTCTACTCTATTCTAACATACTATTCATACTCACCATTCAGTGGGATAATTAATATTTTAATTTATTAAATGAATTTGTTATCAATATTCTTCATCATAAAATTGTACTTTGAGCCATCCCAAGTATTGATTACTCAATTCAAGATACTATAGTTCATTATGTGTGGAATAATACACACTGAGTTAGGTCGAATGGACTAACTCCTCCACGGGGGGACTCCCCCCCAGTAACTTAGTAATAAGTCTGAGGGTCTGTAAAGCTAAAATCGAGTTTCGGTACTCGCGGTGGGCACAACACAGAGAGACCAATGTACAACTTTGTGCTGAATAACAAACGGACCTCCGGTTGGTTATGGTAGATTAAGTAGAATTGCTTTCGAGAATAAAATGTTTAAGTTTTGTCTTCATTATATTTAATGGTTAATTTCTTCTCTACTGTCACTTAATATCCTGAATGCGAGTGTATTTGTACTATAACGTTTTTTTCATATATACTTTGGTCGATGCATTGGATTACAGGATTCTAAGTTACATGAAATTTACAAGACATTATGAATATTGGCACCTAATGAGGAATAACTTTAATTGTAATCTATTTAACTAACTAGAACCGCTTAAAGTTATATCTACAATGTGATTGGTTAATACAACTGTTCGTGCTGGCATCTATGGTTTTTATATTTCAGATTTTCCCTGTTTTTTGCCTCTGAGTACAATATTTTCAAAGCATAACAAGAAATCAAACTACAATTTTCTTGAGAGGAAATAACTTTAAAATGATTTTAAACCCGATCTTTCTAACTAAAAATGGAAAGTGAATTTTACATCACTTGCCGATAATCTTGATGCAGACATTAATATAATTTCTTTATTACGCTATTTACTCGTCAGTTTACTTGAAAACAAACTGGGCTTCTTTCTCGATACTAAAATATTTCATTTCTGAAAAGAGGAAACGGTGTGTTTTAATCATATTTATTTCCTTAGGTTAGTTATATAATCATTAATTAATCAAACTTATAGATTTAATTGTTTTTACCCTAGACTTTAAATTATAGAACATCAGATATTGGTATCTTTTTATTGTAAATTACACGGATGCTAAAAGTGTTTAGGTTACTCCCTAACGTCAGAAATCAGTATTAACGTCAGAAATTTTTATCATCATTAACATTATTATTGCGAAAACTGAACTCACGAGTACGTTTTATGTAACAGTGACTGCAATTAGAAACACGGGATGTTTTTTGGGCCTCAAATCACAACACGTTAAAATATTTTTAATACATGGATTCCTGGAAGACGGATCTATATTATCAAAGAATGAAAAGTTGATTTATTTCTTGGAAACTATTTTTGCTTTCTAGTCATTTGTACTATTTTAAATATAGAATGTTATCGACCTGTTTTAATCCGTCAAACTGTATAATTACCTGAATTTTAAAATGTTTTGTAGGTTGATCACCTCTACATTGTTTTATGATACGAGTTTCCAAACGTAGTATTGTTTCTGGTTGTAGTTAGTGACGAGTTAATGTTTCTGGTTGTAGTTAGTGACGAGTTAATGTTCCTGGTTGTAGTTAGTGACGAGTTAATGTTTCTGGTTGTAGTTAGTGACGAGTTAATGTTCCTGGTTGTAGTTAGTGACGAGTTAATGTTTCTGGTTGTAGTTAGTGACGAGTTAATGTTCCTGGTTGTAGTTAGTGACGAGTTAATGTTTCTGGTTGTAGTTATGACGAGTAAATTATTTATTCGGGATTTTAAATACGAAATAAAATAAAACGTAGATCTCTATATATGTTTGTACTTAACAAACATAAACACTTGAAATTTGGAAATCAAATATTTATAAGAATGTTTCTCGAAGTACTAAAATTTTTAACAGAGACGAAAACCGCTCACCTATATTAAAAAACGTGAAAATAATTTAATATTTGTTCTTCAATTCTGCTCATTGATAAGCTGCATGACGCAGATAACCCATTTTGTGGTTTCGCACTTAAATAAAAACAATCTGCAGCTCCTTCTATCGGCAAATGGATACATCGTTACCAAATTTTCAGAACTTACTAAGCGGAAGCTGTAAAAAACCAACATTTACGATTATACCTCTATTACATCAAATTTATGTTTTTGAAGCATACAATCGAGAACGTAAGTTTTACTAGACATTTCGCCTAGTGGTATGGTTACGTAACTAAATCAAGTGGATTTTTATCCCCGTTTATTGTGAGCTTCGGTATGCTGAATTTCATGTGATTTGAGTCATACAAAGTAAATAAAACGTAGCAGAGCCACGTTTGGAGTTCAAATATTATTATTCTTTTTTTTTTTTTTGCACAAAATATTTCCGCCAGATAATTTATTTTGGATTAATATATATAATTCACAGAATACATTTTTACTCTAGAGAAGTAAATATAAAGAGGAAAGGGAAGGAAATACCGTTAATAACAGACAAAGACTATCTGTTGCAGCTCCGCAACATCCAATAAATCCAATGATGAGAAGAATTGCTCCAACAGCAATAACAATGTATGTTGCTTGGTAGTAATTTTGTACAGGAAGATTATTTTCGTATTCCCAGAAGTCTTCATCTGTTCGGATCCATATACCTAATCCAAACAGGGCGGCTCCAAAACACTTGATAAGAATATAAAAACATACCTAAAAACATGCTTTTTACACGCGTTTAATATGCAGTTCTCACAAGAAAGTAACTGCGGAAATATTGCAAAAGTTCAAGTGAAATGCTACACATATTCAGTTCTGGCATCTAAAGCTATTTCTTCATCGTATTTATGACTGAAATTAGGCTACTGTTGTAAGTTAATATTAACATCAAATAGAGTTCATTGTACCTTTTGTTCTTGAATACAAAATATATTAAACATTTTAGGAAAAAAGGCATTTATAGTTTGTGGAAAAGTTGAACTGGGTTTTGATTAATGATATATATTATTATTATTATCATACACTATCACATTTTGTTTCGCCACAAGTAAAGATCATGGCATTAAAAATTATTTATGAAATGAAACATTTAACGTCTGTATTAAACTACAGAAGAAAACAAAACACTTTGCGCCATATTTCCAGAATTAGTCTGAAAAAAAATATTCAAATGATTTGACTTTATTTCTTTATCACTGCAACTTTTAAATATTTCAGTTATTAAATAGTAACTATTTTTATAACCAAAACATAATTAATGGAATTGATAATTTCAAGTGATCTCAGTAATAATTCAACTAACTCATTTTTTAAATGAAACACTACAAAAAATGAAGTTTTGCTTGGAATTAGTATACCAGAAAACAATTTGAAGTAAACTTCACGGTTTATAATTCCAACCGTCTTTCTGTACAATTCTTAACTGAATTTCTTGTTTTAAACATTTATTTATCACAGAAAAAAAGAGAAAGAAACGAAGTCGTACTACCTGCTTAACATTATCACTCCAGCTACACCTGTGTATGTATCTTTCTTTACACGTACCTTACTTATCGGGAAATCCATTATTTTATTAGTCATTAGTACAAACTGTAGGGACCCGTGAATTTCAAAGAAATAGTTTCAGTGTTACAAAAACCAATAAACAATTAACTATAGTATGTAAATATTTTGTAACTAGTATCTTCTTAATAAGTCTTTTAATAACCCTGTCTTAGTATTATTTGTATGAAAACAACTTCAACAGTTCAATTGTTTGTTATTTTTATGTTTATGAATAAATTCGCTATGAAGTACTATCTAATATATTAATTAACATCTTGTCTGCTCTTAATATATTCAGTTTCAATTAGTATCCCAATCTTAATTAGTCTCAACATTTTCTGTTTCATTCATAGCTTCCCTATTAAACTGCATTAACTCTGCCTACAATAGCGCCTGTTTTAATCAGTGATACTCTGTTAATATATAACATCTCTTTCGACAAGCTACTCGTCAAGTAAGTAGTAACTTCATTTTAATTAGAAGACTCTCTGTCAATCAAAACTTCCTCTTATAACTACACATTAATAAAATTTTAACCACAAAAACACTGAAGAGGCGTACTTTAATGTGCTGGAAAAGTTGTTATTGGTAGTTGGTTGTCTGCACATTACTTTTAAATAATAATTAAATACAAATTTGACATTTATGAGTAAAAATCCTTCGAATGCTTTCTTTAAAAAGGTAGGATATGGAGGAAGAAATTAAAACAACAACAACTGTTGCTGCAGTATGCAGTTGATGTTGTAAGTATAATGATGATTTAGGACAGTTTTCTACTATAAAAGTTTTGAGTTTCAAATTGTAAAATAATAGAGACGAATACATGCGGTTTGGTACAAAAAATTCTGTTTATTAAAATATTCTTCACACGCATAAATTTCTCTTCTTATAAATCAAGAAGCACTTATTCACTATCTTGGATGTTCTTCAATGATTGAGAGGGCAACAACTGTCATATGAGTTTGTTCTGTGACTGAGATAGCGTTCTGGATCGTAATGTATGTTTTTATTAAACACGACCAAGTATATTTTCGTGAATTTGAAACATCTCCAAGTTATAGCATGTGAACAAGTTTGTATCTAAACATAAATATTTTCCACTGCCTGGTTACTTTTCAAGCAACACTTGTGTCACAAAAATGTGCTACGATGCCTAAAGAGTCATATTTTGTCGTATGGGTATTTTTTTGTGTGGTCACAATCAAGTACAGAATAGAATGATGTTTGGATATAAGATGTAGGATATAATGATATTTGGATATGAGTCATATAGGATATAATGTTATTTGGATATGAGTCATGTAGGATATAATTATGTTCGGGTATAAGAAAAGCCATACGCGCATAAATACTGGGAGGGGCATAGTAATTCCCCCATTAAAGGAAAACGAAACTACAAGTGACACAACAAATCACTCTCCATGATTAAGCTCTAGTTGCATGATCGTTTAACTATTTAGCGTTCCAAACGTTCAAAATTCCAATTAACGTTATCATTGTACGATTAACTTAAAAGTCCTAAGAAAAATTGCATGAAACACAGTGAATAAGTATCTTTAGTGTGCTTATTGAGATTCGTTATGGTCCAGCCTGTATATCTATTAATACATGTAGTCTAAGTATTTGCGAGATTATAAATACATATGAATTAAATCAGTGATCTTATTACTTTACGTAGAACCATAAAAAATAATTTTAGAAAACGTTTAAAAGAACCGGGATGGTTATAGAAGTGAAAACTTGCTTTGAGCTTACCCAGTGAAAAGATGCTCATAAATTACTTTTATAAAATTATTTCGTTAATTTAGAATAATTCATAAAAATGTTTAACAACATAATTTTATGATGAAAGTGTAAATTCTTATTTAAAAACACACTTTGACCGTATATTTAGAATACGTTAAATTCAAATTAGGTATTCTTTTTAAATCGTTTGATTAAAATTTGTACTTCGAAAACCTTCGACTGTTAAACCGCTCCCGCTTCAAAATATTTTCATAGATAATGAAAGCGGACATGTTGAATTTAACGAAACCATAAACCCTAGAAAAAAGATGACTTACCCACAGTATGAAGTTAAAGGTGAAAATGATATATTTCATAAACGATAATGCCGAGCTCATGGTTGCAAGTTGTTAAACAAATTCAGGCTGTGATAATTTATAGAGAAAATAGGTCCTCAAAACCCCGACTTTGTTAAGTGTTTTTTAGACTGAACGCAATGTATGTGTTCGAGTACTAGTAGAGCAAAGTGCAACAACGCTCAGTTTGAAACTATCGGTAGTTAAGGTGACGTCGTAACGAACACCATCATTACATAATCAGGAAAAGGTAAAGCCAAAACAAGAAACTATTATTTATTTGTATTAATTTTCTGACTGCGTCTTTTACACTAACTTCGATACTTTTAGGAAGCAGTACTTTTAATTACTTGAAGATATGATGACGGACATTGGTCCTAACTGCATATAAAATATTTTAATAATTGATATTGAAGTTATTTATACAAAATAAAAATCGCTTTCGAGCTGACAGTCATAAACGAACATAAGATCATTCATAAACGAACGTAAGATCATTCATAAACGAACATAAGATCATTCATAAACGAACGTAAGATCATTCATAAACGAACATAAGATCTTTAATAAACGAACGTAAGATCGTGTCTCACTCTTACTACGTTCCAAGTATTTTGACTTTAACTGAATTAAAAGTTTTTAGATTCATAAAACGTTATGATTCCTATACACTTCTAGGCGTTAAATGACCTCGGATCTGTAGCTTTATTGAAATTCGGAATCAATGTTCTCGGTGATGTTTCCTTTTCTGGGAATTAGATTGTAATGTAAATTTGAAAATCTATTGGTTGGTTTTTGCTTTTATTTCACTGTTGTAGATGGGTTATAATTTACAATTCAAATTTAACGACCTTAATGCATTTTGCAGTTGGAATATATACTAGGTCTATAGTACGCTTCGCTCTATTGGATATAAGTCAAGAGCAATCGATTGTTTTTGTAAATGTTTAAAAACTTTGTAGAGACATCTCCTCAATTAGTGAGGTGTACTGTGACTGAACAGAATCCTCACATATTAAGTGTATTCTCCATGTTTTCATGTATCATTTACATACTGAACAGAGGGTTCATCACGCTTAATAAGAATGGTTTTCGTGTACTAATATATTGACATGCTACGTCCTGACTATTCGACAGTGTAATATCACTACAGTTGTTTATATGGTTGGAGGATTATATGTTATACGTACTTTCAAGGGTGTTCGAATAGTACTGACTATTCGACAGTGTAATATCACTACAGTTGTTTATATGGTTGGAGGATTATATGTTATACGTACTTTCAAGGGTGTTCGAATAGTACTGACTATTCGACAGTGTAATATCACTACAGTTGTTTATATGGTTGGAGGATTATATGTTATACGTACTTTCAAGGGTGTTCGAATAGCGAAATTGTTAAATGATGCGAAGACACAATTCTGAAGAGGGAAGCGTTCAGTGTTCTCTATGTAGAAATTGTGTTGTTTTCGTTTAGAGTAAAGCCACAATGAACTGACTACCTGTTGTGCCCATCGCGTAAAAACGAACGACGGATTTTAACACTGTAAGTTTGTAAAATTACCGCTGACAAATCAGGGGATTCGTGGGGGTGAAAAACTCATCAGCAAAGGGCTTTGAAACTAAACCCTTAAATCAATCAGAAGCAATGCCCTCAGCCGTCAAGTATAATCCAGGGTTACCTAAGAAGATATTAAGATGAAGCTGGACATAACTCCTGGCACCTTTAATAATATGATAACCAATTATTTGAACTTGACTAATGGTTCATAAGCTTACAGTCACTACTGTTTTCGTGAGAAAGATGGCCTAATAGGTTACAATAACAGCAATTCCCCAATTTGGTTTAATGGACTTTTGTGTCTCTAGTCTGCTTAAACATTGCTTAGAAAGTCGACTGTGCACACAGTGAAGTTTGCAGAAACATTGTTGAGAGGTATGCGCATATCAGTCATGCGCATATCAGTCACAGTGAAGAGTTTGCAGAAATATTGTTGAGAGGTATGCGCATATCAGTCATGGTAATCAAGCTGAACATGATTGACGATGGCAGAAGCAATTTCAAATGCTGAACGACTTGAAATATCTTTCTTATAAAATGTAGTTACCCTTTAATATTTTATAAAAGGAAGTCCATGTTTACTCACATCAAATTTTCAATATAGTTAGGAATAGCGTATTTTAATAGAACTTTTTCTAACTTAAATATTTTTATAACAAAATAAGAGCAACCATCAATTCCAGAATTTACTGTTTTATAGCAATTTGTAAATCTAAAGTCAAGCACTTCTGTTGTTTTAATTTTAAACATTCATTTTATATTTAGAGTTTGAATTGTATACACAAGAATTTATAAAATAAACGTGTAATGTACATTAATAATAATAATAATAATGATGATAAGCTAAAGAACATAGTTGAGTTTGATTACATTTTAACTACACAAACAATGGAAATTACATAAACAAAAATAAAGGGTGAAAGAATATAAAGTTTAGAACCAAAACCTTTGGAAAAATGGAAAAAAAAGTTTTCTTATGAAAATATTAAGAATTTATATAAACCATAATTTATAAGTAGAAAAGGTATATAGTTAGATGGTTTAAAATAATAATTTTTACATAGAAAATTTCGTACAGGAAAGTTTCTAAGTTAAATAAGGATTCAATGATATAATAAATGCTGTTTTTGTAAGGAAAGAAAACTTAGAACATGATATTTGTTCATGTAAAGATACAAACTTTATTTGGAGTAGTTTTATATTTCATATATTTGTTAGATTAAAATAAGATATGGTATTAAGTTATCAAATTATTGTATTTGGATTAAGAAACAATATCATTACAAGGTAATGTTACATTAAGTTATAATATGTATCAAATGCTAAATGCTAAAAACTGAAGTAAAGAAAAATGTACAGGTAAATGGATTGATTAATTACTTTTTTGTTACCTCTGTGTTTTCCTTAAGCTATTGGTTATATAATTAATAATTCAACGATTTTTTTAAATACTATCTGAAGATCTTCTGTTTCTATACTTATTTAACTAGAATTACTGATGGATCTTTGTCCTTTATGCTCTTTGTTTTATTTCTCGTATGTGTATTGTTTCTTAGAGAAAGATGAATAACGATAATAATAAACGTGTAATCCTAGAGCATAAGAAATATCACACAGAAATAAACGATTCAAGTGCATCGTAGCAAAATAAATAATGGATAAAATATTGACATATTTTACTATTTACATGATAATACTTTTTAAGAATAATTAGTTGTAAACTCAAATATTCCTTAAAAATGTTTAACAGGAAGATATTAGCATATAATTATACATTACTCGCTCACCTCCTTAGGGTTAATAATGTTATTATAATGTAGTTATCAAACAATTATATAATTCAAACTTTTATTTTATAGCTGGTAGCATTATATAGCTTCTTCCATATGTAATTATTCCTTCTCGTAATACACGAACTCTGAAACCCTTGTTGAAAATAAATTTCCTCACATTAACCTTCTTAGTTTACTAACTTAGGTTAAGGTAATCATCCATCCTCTGTTTTCATTTCCGTCTCATGATTAGGGTGCGTCATTCGCAATCTGTGTATCGTGGGTACGAATCCCTCTCATCGAACATTCTCGATCTTTCAGCCGGGGGGAGTTATACTGTGACAGTCAATTCTACTATTTGTTGGTAAAAGAGTAGTCCAAGAGTTAGCGGTGAGTGATGTTGACTAGCTGCCTTTCATCTACTTATCACTGCTAAATTAGGGACGGATAGCGCAGATGGCCCTCAAGTAACTTTGTGTGCAATTCAAAACAAACAAATATACAAACAGAATCTGTGACATAGAGGATTAATGCATTCCTTGATTGGCCGTACTTTCTGATGTGTACTGCAGTTTCGCCTATTCAAGGCTCATCAGCACAAATTTTAATTGGCTAAACTGCAGTCCGAAGCAGAGAGTAAGGCCAATCGAGGAATGCATTAGGCCTCTACGTCACAGATTCTCTTTTCAATTTTACCTCTGGTAAAAAAGAAAGCTTTGACATATTTACAAAATCATTAAATATTTGGTCCACTGTATAATACCGAATAATAAATTTGACGAAATGTCATAACATTATTCACCTACTTAAATTAATTTAGCTGACTATATGATGATGTAAAACGGACTCAAAACACCATAGAAACAAACAAACAATTTATTTGCGTCTATACTAATTAAAAATCTAGGGTATTAATTTTTTCGTAGATTATTTTATTACATTTAATTATAAGTTCATAGTTAAAAGACAATTACTATTCTAGAGATTAAAAAATGTTTCTGAGGTGTATGAAAGAAATGTTTAAGCAGCAATGATTTACCAGTTTTGGGGCGAAAGATAATCGGAGACGCTATTAATTAAAGAAGTGTTTGTTTGTTCGTTTCGAATTTCGCGCAAAGCTACATGAGGGCTATATGCGCTAGCCGTCACTAATTAAGCAGTGTAAGGCTAGAGGGGAAGCAGCTAGTCAACACCACCCATCGCCAACTCTTGGGCTACTCTTTTAGCAACGAACAGTGGGATTGACCATCACTTTATAACGCCCCCACGACAGAAAGGGCGAACATGCTTGGTGGACCTGGGATTCGAACCCGCGAGCTGCAGATTACGAGTCGAGCTCCCTAACCACCTGGCCACGCCGGGTCTTAAGGAAGTGTCTAGTTCTGTGAGCATATTGTCTCTATAGGTTACTTAAACACAAATAAAATGTACAGAAAAGCCTTTGTTTGGACGTGGCTTTATTTGAATGTAAAATTCGTAACTTATTTACAATGTCTTCAACTTTCACATGATTATTAGATAAAGGAAGCCTTTTCATCTCCAAGCTAGCATCATACATATCAAAGACAATGCTAAAAATCACTAACATAAACAAGGCAATTAAGCTTTATTTTTTAACTTTATAAGTCATCATTTTTCAGAATTCTACTAAAATCTAAGTATACAACGTAAAACAATGATATAAGTTATTCATTTTATAATGATTATTAGTTTTGATAACATAAATGTCTGTTTTTCTCTTATAGCAAAATCACATCGGGCTATCTGCCGTATCCACCTAGAGGAATCGAACCCCTGATTTTAGCGTTGTAAATCCGTAGACTTACCGCTGTTCCAGT